GTTCCATGTTCTTAGAAGCATCATAATATAAAAACATGCCAAAATAAAACCTTTTCACACCCAAGTGTTTCAACAAAATAACACCTAATTATTAAGTACTTATTAGTTTACTTATTAAGAAATCTTTCAAAGCATCTTCCTTAGATCCTGAAGACAAAAAAAAGTGACAGATATGTGATCATATAATTTCAGACTAAGTGCTAAAGTATGTTATTTAAGATTATGGACTTTTTCTTTCCTTTTTTCTTTTAAATATAAGGCATTTCAGGCAAGTCCACTATTACAATGACCTACAATGAGTTCTGATTTCCTGATATATTTTACATACAGGAATACCTGAAACTACATCCTAGCACATCCTAAGCACCTGCTAAAATACCAAATCTGACCAAAATTAAAAAGATTATGTCACTGCCTGTTGTACAGATGCTTATCCAAAGTAATTGTTGAATGGTGAAGATGCTTCTTGTTGCTTAGTGATTTGATCTGTAGTCAGTTATGTACTTCCCCGACTAATACTGAAAGTCAAAAAACACAGGTGGGGGAAACTGATGCCTTGTCATCACTGAAAGCAACTTCACCCCACAGTTGCTTATTAGTCAATGGAGTGTATGAGTAAAGACTGGAACTATCTGGTAGTGAAATCAAATACTGTGTATTGTAGGAAAACCTGAACTAATATTAAGATATGAAAAACCATGTGCTGGTCAAACCCCATCTGTTCCCATGACTAGTCATCACATATAGGTCATCTTCTTTAACCAAACTGTAATTGTATTGAGATTATGCTTGCTTTCTTTTGGTGAAAAAATTATTTCATGTTATGTTGTGGCAAGTTACAAAAGTCACATTAAACATTTAAAAATAAGGACATTCGCTATTGTAGGGGAAGTGGAAATAATGTATTATACTACATATACTGATGGGAAAATTGTGTGAAGTATCGCTTTGAAGATAATTTTGACAGAAAGTTGTCAATTTGTCTTAAGCGTTGAGGCGCTGAGGCACCAAAACTATCATTCTCACCGAGGATCACTGGGAGTACTTTAGAGGGCCAGCAGAAGCAATATCCGCTCCCGACATCTTCAAAAAGCCAAAAATTTAACTTCTAATGAAGGCCACACTTGGTTTCCGGAGTTTCATGATGTCATGTGATGCAGAGATGAAATTGTGCAGCAAATCACGTGCTGCGACACCACCATTCATTGGGATAACGCCTCTGTTCACCGGGCCAGACCTGCCCTGTGGACCTGCTGGTTAGCAGATGCTGTCTCAGCCTGCATCATGTCCTGAGCTCAACCCCACAATGAACCTGTGAGACGCCCTGCAATACAACAGCTGGAGACGTGACCTCTGCAAGAGCAAGCAGCTTAGTCAGGACCTTCCCCAGACATGTGGCAGCACCTCACAGCTGCACACATAGAGGCTCATTGGCTCCAAGAGGCGTCAAACAGAGGTGGCTGCAACAGGTGATCACCAGTGGTTCTGATGGACCGCTGGACAACTATTGAATGCAGTTATTGTTATAATATATTAGTTATACATTAAAATGTATGTTCCTGTTATTGATCTTATATTTATGTAATTCAGTGTAGTGTTTTGGGTTTTTTTTGCTGTCAGTATAGATTAAGACTTCTCAAAGTTCCTAACATCTTGATATTTTGATCAACTAAACTATAGTCCAACTGAAATGGTCTTCCCTCTCGCTCTTCAACCTATTTTGGTTTTTCAAAATGCAGACAATGTAGGCAAAGACATTGGAGTTTACAAAATTTAAAGGGTAAGCTTACCAAAATTAGATAAATAAATATTTTCTCACTTAGCCTAACTGATCCTCAAGGCATACATATTTTTATGTGGCATGGTTTTGATCTTCTGCCACCACCCCAATACGGAAGCCTAATCGCACCACCGCATCACCTAATAATTTATTTCACTGGAACTACTGATTACAATTAACTTCCAAAGAAAAGTATTTACAGCAAAGTATGTGAATTTCCCAAAGTAACATGTACACTGAAAATACATTCTGTAATTTGAATGTCAAACACATTTCATTCACCCACATAGTATTGGTGTAGTGGCAGAAAGATTTCCAGGGCAATTTATTATTATTATATCTATAAGTACTAATAATACTTGCTGATTAAAGGTAATCAATGGGACCTTTCTGTGACTTCACAAGAATTCGAAGTATTTCAGTTGTGAATAAAGGACCAGCTTCACAAAGCATAAGACATACTGATCAAACACTTTTGTTCTTGTTAAGTGTGTGGTTCTTCATAATTTACCTCCTAGCAGTGGACTTGTACTTACTTTTAAAACCGTCTACAAAATTTGCATGGGGTTTTTATAAAACATGGCAGTTTTTAAAAGTTTAAATTTTATGCTTTCAGACAGAGAAAATGAGAGATTTAGAAATGTGACTACTGCTGTTAAAGCCTTTAAACTTAAAACGCATTCGGTTCCCTGAACAAATATTTTTTCCATTGCATTTTGGTATCTGTCTCTGCTGATAAATGACAAGCCATAACACAAAAGCAGGCCGTCTGTATGTATGTACCATCATATAGTATACTTTTGTATTTAAAGTGTACTTGAATGTAAGGTGAAATAGCGGTTGTTCAAATCTGAAATTCCATACTAGTTATAATAGTTGTAAAAAAAGGGCACAGAAGCTGACCCCAGATCAGCGCTCAAAAGAAAAACAGATGTTTGCTGCTGTCTGTGCATTCTATAAATATATAAAGGAATATAGGTGCATATGTGAGTGTGTCAGCAAAAACAAAAGGGGTAGGGGTTGACCAGTAGGGGATATTTAAACACAAAACCCACTCAGTTACTAAAAAGATGCCTGTCCCTCATCCCTAGAGTTTGTATGAATGTGTGGTGAACCGTAAGCTTTCTTCATTTCCAGCAGCATGGAGTCTTTCTCCGAGGAATGGAGCATTTTTCTGATGGTGGCCAGCTGACACTTCATCATCTTCATGGAAATGCGACAACAAATCTCCCCTTCATTGTTCAGTGAACTCCAGGTGAAACATCATTCTAACATCTGCACTGAAGAATCCTCCAGTCCCCTCTGCATCTCTGCAGCAGCAAGAAGTCAACTCCTCCTCCTCCTCCTCCTCCATATCAGCTGCCCAGTCCCTACTCATTCAGAAGCCTAACCAAGCCATTATTGGCATGTCTGTGCAACAACTGGTCCAAGAGTGTGTTTGAGTGGTGATAGATAAGGCAACATAAGATGCAGCATCGAGACTTGATGTGAAAGTTTTCCCTCAGGTACATGGAAAGTTGTTTGAGCATGACACAGGGACGAGGAAAGTTGTAAAATGTTACGCTGTAAGTATGTTATGAGGTGCATTTCATGGATTAAGTGCAGCAATAAGTTCACTTTACTTTTATGAAACTGCCAAAAGAAAAATAATAATAAAGACATGTTGCCTGATAAGAGGCACAAGACTACTAATGACTTTGCTGTGTGTAGGAAGAAACCGCTGAGAAACCACTGGTGCTTGAACGTTGGGGTCCTTGTTTGAAAAGATGAACCACTGTGAGAGAAACCATCAGGTTTGAAGAGGTGTTGTGCTTTGCCAACACTGTGGAACTACGACATCATTAAGCAGGCTACACAAAACCTATGTATTCAGCGGTATTGAGGAGTTGTGAAAGGTTTGATGTGGGGGTGTTTGCTGAGTTCTGACAAAATAATTTAATATAAAAAAGGACACTGTGACATCCACTGCTATCTAATTTCCTAAATATTGAGAATGAATAGGCTTCACTAAGAGATGTGCACTCCATTTTAATAAATACAAACTTTTGAGCACAGACCTCCTTTGGGCTTGCAGTATGTTGTCTGTAACAAAACAAAGTGTGCAGATCATAGTGTGTATAGTACTTAGTAAATAAGAAAATGGAGTGTGCAGATCCTAGTGTGCAAAGCTTTCCTATGTATGGCCATCTTTCCAGCACTTTGGCTTGAATGTGGACACTTTAGTTTTTAACCTAATTACATTTAAAAAAATCCCTCAACTAAAATATAATCAAACATTATCTTGTTTTGCAGTTTGAAAACAAAAAAGGACAATTCTTCTTTAAATGAGGACACATCTGTGATGATTGTTAACTGTTTTGAGTATCTGATTTTATAAAAGTCGTTAAAACTGATTATTAGAGAATATAGAAAAAAAAAAAAGATAGAATGATGTGGTTCTATATTTCAAATAATGAACAATGTTGTGTATATGTGAGGCTCTGAGCTGAACATGTGAAAACATACCGTATGCTGTGTGTGCACTGTGGGTTATGTTGAGAGAGAAACACTCCCCAACATGAAACACCAGACCGTAAAGTATTGTTCATACTCTCAAAAGGCCAGCAGCTTATTTCACAGTACGAAGCATGTTTCCAGAATAAGAGACAAATGCGTTTGTGTCCTGCCTTCCTGTTTACCAACTAAAACTTCTGTGATCTTTCAGTTTTGTCATGTAGCACGTGTGTATTCTTCAGTGAGAACCTTTGAGTTTGCAAGAGACCTTTGCAAGGTCAGACAAACTGAACATTGAAGCAGTGTTTCAATACACTGATGGTAAAAAGAAACCTGGTAAACCACCCCGACTCCCCAGCACTACTCCACAGACAGTTGCTGTGTGTTGCAGTAAGCAGTTTCCAGGTATGAGACTGGTTTAAAGGAGTGTGTCTACTTGAGTACTGGAATCCTGACTAGTCGAGAGTGCTTCAGGACATTTTGGGCATTTCGAATCAACAAAAACTATAAAAGTGAACATACTTACCCACTGCTGACCCCTGCTACTTATGAGTAATCCCAGAGAAAGAGTGTGTATGTGTCGAAGTGTGGCTGTGGGTATGATTGTGTCACGTAGCGCCATTATTCAAAGAGGAAAGAAAATCTGTAATGCCGAAAGAGGCCCTTTGTGCATGGTGTGTAAACTGCTGTATGATCTGAATGTGTATGAGTAGCGAATGATACATACACGCTGTGTAAAACTTAGATGATGGTATGGAAGTGGCCTGAACTTCTTTGAGACTGGGGTCGCAGGCTAAGGGAGATGCAGCCTCCTTCTGCCCTCCATCATCCTCCTCGATCTCCTCTTCTTCACCTCCCTCCTCAGCTTTTCCTGCTAATCTCTTAGACATCCTACCCGACCTCAGACCCTGTGATGAAAATATTTGTCAAGAATAAAAATACTATAGTTTAGTATAAAGCAGATTTTTACACTGTAGTTTCACATTAAATCAGACAAAGTGCAGATTTAGCTATACCTATTCAAATGTCTGTTTTAATTTATTTTTCTCCGTTTTGAAATCACTTACCTTTGCAGTTGGTCTGGCAGTAGCAGCTTTTCTCGGTGCTCGGCCTCTGGCCTTGGGCACCTTGGGGCCAGAAAGAGTCTTCATAGTGACGGCAGCGTGCTGAAGGATGCAGTCAGTGCCACAGTAAACAGAGTCCGGTAGGGCTTGTTTGGAGCATCCGGGCCCAATGCACAGAGGAAGAGAACTGTCCGTCTCCATCTCAGCTTCAGGTTCAGGTTCAGGTTCTGGTTCAGGTTCTGGTTCTGGCTTCATCACAGGAGCCGTCTCCCCCTCTTCCTCCTCCTCCACCACCACAGCAGCAGCAGCAGCAGCAGCAGTCTCCTGAAACCAGAGTCTCACCTTAGAGCCCATGACCAGATTTCGGTCATGCAAATCAGCCACTGACTAATGATGCAAATGTAATACCATCCATCACATATTTACTGTCACACGGGAATGACTGCTGTGGCAAACAAGTTGAAAAGCTATTTATATTTTGTTGTGACTGAGGGAAGTGAGTCATGTGGAGATCACTGGCAATCCAAATGTAATTCTAACCTTGTGGGCTTGCTGCTTCTCGTGCCCCTCCCCTTCTTCACCAGAAGAACTTAGTGTCAAACATTCGGGAAAGCTAAGCTCAGGCTCTGGCTCAGAGCGAGGCTCAGGCTGGAGTTGGCTCTGCTTCTTTGTAGTGCAAGTGGGGCAGATGTACTCTTGCCCTCTCCTCTCCATCTTATGGCCCTCTGTCTCGCTGATACCAACACAGTTGCCATGGAACCACTCCTGGCAACTGTCACAGCAGATCATGAACCTAGAAGCAGTGAACAAACAACAGTTGTCAGGAAGTGAAACCGACAGATGGTCGAGGTGCATAAAAGCAAAAAGCAAAAAAGAGATCTTGTTATCAGAAATGAGCATATACCTTTTATTGTGTTTCTGTCGACAGATGCAGTATAGAGCATTGGAGTCATAACCCTCAGAGCCCGATATGCCTGAATACTCGCTTACACGCGTGACTTCGTCTTTCTTCTCCGCCTCCTCCTCCACCTCCTCTGGTGCATCATCATACTGGCCAGGAGTTGCATCAGTAATCTGGTCTAAATCAGAGTCTATAATTATGCAGTCTGAGCTTGATCGCTGAGCAGGACTCAGACTGATATCAGAGTGAGCAGGCGACATCTCGATTCCAGCAGGGCTGTGTGGACGGTCTACTTTTTCCTCGTCTCGCAACTGCTGCAGCTGCTGTTCAGCTGGATTATCGAGCATTACCTCATCGTCGTTGTCCTCATCGTCTGCAATGATTGACTGAAGCTCCACGGCCCTGCCCCTCCCTCTGCCCCTCCCTCTACCTTTTCCCCGACCTCTTCCTCTGCCTCTCCCCCTTCCTCTGGCCTTTCCTCTTCCCCCTTTTCCCCCTCTACCTCTGGTGTCTCCCTGCCGGCCTTTAGATACCAGCTGCTCCTTAATCTGTATCAGAGTCATATTATCACTGTCATCTTCGTGACTAGAGATCAACACCACATCATCGACTTCCCCCCCCGCCACATCGTCCGGAGCAACAGTCTCCATGTCATCAGCAGATTCCAAATGAAGGACCTCAGTTTCATCTATAGCCTGTGGAGGAGGGGCCTTGATGGCATCAGTGGCTTCCAAAATGTCCGGGACTGCCAGTGTATCCGACATTTCCATTGACAGGCCCTCATTGCCGCCGAGTAGTGAGAAGGCAGTGTGGAAGGCAGACCCAAAATCTTGCCATAAGCTGGGGTCAAGGCTCCCTCCCGCAGAAGCTTCTGAGGCTGGCTTGCTCTCCTCTGATGCAGGCGAGGATGGGGCGGACCACTCAAGCTCATCTATGACACTCTTAGTTGGACGAGTAGCTTTCTGGGTGGTGTGGGTTTCTGGAGTGGCCTGGGGAGTCTGGTTGGTTCGACGACTTCTGCCTCTGCGTACAATTGGAGGACTGTGGGTTAGGTCTCCAACTTCATCCAAAAACTCCCTTTTAGCGATTGTTGTCCGCCTGAAGCCCCAGGACTTTTTCACCTGAGACAGGGAGGGCCTAACAGTCGACTCTGCCCCTTCTGACTGGTCTTGCTGTTCCTCTATGGAAGGAAAACAGGAATTAAAAAAAACGAACCAAAAGCTCTTTTGTGATCTTTTTACAGCAACAACCCCATTTTATCAACTCACAGCCTAAAGGACCTGCTTTACCTGAAATATTGTCATCTGTAGTGCTGTTATTATCCATCGGGTCCATGCTGACATTCACAGGTCACAACGCTGTCAAAACACAGAAGATGTAGTTTGTTAGTTCAGAAGCTGAAAGTAATAATGTACAATTGGGCAAGTTGGACGAGGACTAAATGCAGAAAAATGATACATTTACAACCAAGTAGCAGATGGCTGACAAAGCCTGATTTCCACTTGCGTGTCTTTGCACCGGGATTAATGCACCAAATCACCCACATTAGATTACGAGTCAATAATAATTCTCAAGTAGACCGTTTAACAGTTTAACTCAACCTCTAATACATCTACAAAAGCACTCAACGGTCCTTCAGTCCAACACCTCAGCTGATGATACTTCATACCTTCATGAGGTGTTGATTCAACCGTTGGACTGAAGTGTACTGAGATGTGTTTCTAGTAATTCGACTGCACTGCAAACAGCTAAAACAAACACTGAACATTACAACCTTCATGACAGCAGGATTTAATCCAAATCTGCTGTATTAAACTGCACTGACAGAACGACTGAGTGTAGATTTACATCTATAAGCCAACTTTTGAGTTTTACTTCAGCACATCTTACAGATCAAGATGAGAAAGCTGAAGCGATTATGTTTCATTAAATGAATAGCAATACTAACACAGGTGAAAAAAGAAGATTAAATTCCTCTTTTAATAACTTACTTAGAGGGTGATTGTAAAGCCAGCAGTCCACATGTTTACACTGGTGTAACTGTGGGCATTATAATGACATTAGGGATCACTTGAGTCTATTTTGCTTGCATCCTATTGTTATTTACTAAATCTAAATCTTGATATACACGTTGCCTGGTACTCATATGGCAAAGTCGGCCTGATGCAGACGGTTTATGCAAAGATTTGTCAACGGGAGTGATGTAAAGGTGGGCAGTCCACAATGTCCCTGCACTTACAGACGAAACGACACCCCTGATTTAGTTTCACTACTGGGCCTAATTTGGGTGTTAGGGTTAGAAACGAAACGTATCTGCTTTCTAAAGCCGCAAACGCTCAAGAGTTACTCCACAAAAGGAGGAAGAGGAGAGATTTCCAAGCGTTGCGACAGACATTGTTCTCTGCAGCTAATGTGGCTACAACAACTAGCTGCTTCCCTGCCTGGTAATAAAATGCAACGCAGCCACGCAGCTGACGTTAATCCCCGTCAACAGCACCGACGCGAGAAGTACAAGTAGCATGCGTGCACACCAACACCGTGAGGAAAACATAAACCATACCTTGCGTACAAATGATTAGTTTCCAGTTACAAAAAAAAGGTTTCGCTCAGTTAGCTACCTAGCACAGCCTTCCATTTTCTCTGCCTTTGCTGAGATGGAATCTCGCGAGATTTGCTCACAGGCGGAGAGCGCCGTGGCTTCCGGTCCATCTGCTGGAGATCCTCGTTTATCAGAGACACTGTCAATACGAAGGAGTATTAGGGCCATGCTAAGAGAAAAACATAGTATTATTGTCTGGAAATTACGAGAATAAAGTCGTAATATTAGGTCTACGAGAATAAAGTCGTAACATTACGAGAATAAAGTCGTAATATTGCGAGAATAA